AGTCTTTGCAATCTGTAGCCTTAATTCGTCCATTTTGTTAGTCAGAGATCTTGCATTGGTAAGAAATATACTTGGAATTCAAGGCTTGTGTGGAAACTTACTCAGCCTAAACAAAATCCCAGCACAGCATCCTCTCTTCCTCTTCCTGTTCTTTCTCCGCCTCTTCCTCCTTCCTACAGGGATAGAGATCCATGGCTCCCCCAGGGGCCCAGCTGCCTCCTTTGGTATATTATGGGAATGTATAAAATCATCCGTAATATCCTTTTCACATTTCAGTCCAATTTGTAACAAGGGTTGCCGACTATAGATGCTCCTTGCTCCACAGGATTCAATCAAGGAAAGGATCCAAAACACACAGAGAATCATACACACCATACACTGAAAGAAGGAGCGGTTAGCCGCAGCATCCATGTGTGCAGCCATCTTGAAAACTGTTTCAAGAGAAGGGAGCAACGTGGGTTGCATGGCTTATGGGGGGGAGGAAAGGGCCCTGATTCCCTTCAGTAGCTACAGCTGGGAAGGAGAGTTTAAAGAGATGCAAGCTGAGTGCGGCGCCTTCTGGGAATAAACGTGAGTTTATCTTGGGTTGACTTTGGTTGTCTGCGTTACTGTCATCTTCCCAGCCTTGTTGAATTATGGCTGTGCCTTCACATCTGGAATTCTTGCTCCTGTCCTGCCGGACTAATTACCTCCTTTTGCCTCGATTGGACTTATAGTTACAGTTTGTATTGACCATGTTTAGGACTTGATTCTCTGCAGCCCAAAGGCTGATTCCTGAAAGAGTTTTTTTTTTTCCTAGCCCAGAAGGTAACCAGGACATTGGGAGCAAAGTTGGAGCAAATAAAAGGACTCCTACTGATTATCTGTGTTGCCTTTGTGCCATGTCCCAGGTCATCACAGTAAGTGACTGAGTAAAAAGGTAAGATCAGAAACTAGGCGGGGAGGAGCAAACGGAACTTGGGATGAATGGGATAACTTTCTATGGCCCACTTGCTGGACAACTCACCAACGGGACAATTTCACAATTCTATTTCATGATTGAAAATAAATCCATGTTGTGTTCATTTTTTGCCATTCCCATGTTCATTCTTTTGCACCCTTTCTTTAAATCAGGGGTGTCAAACTCAACGGGGCCATCCTGGAAAATATAAGGGGTTGGCCCATGTCACTTCAGCCCAGTCTACCCAATGCGAACAGGAAACATCAGGCCAGTGTAAAGAATTCCTATGCCTGTTTTCGAGTTGCCATAAGGAAGGGGGTGGAGGTGTGAACCCAGGAGTACATTCCATGCATATCTTACAAAGATTGTAGCTAGGCTACCAGATCTTCTGCCCGTGAAAATCCTTCGTAGGAGAGTATAATTGATGACACCCAGCCCATGAACATACTGAATTGGAGAATATGATTTATGACACGCCCAGGAGGGAGGGGGGAAACAGGATCACCAGTGACTGTCAATTATGTATGCCAGAGTTGGCTTCATTTAGGTTCATGCCGACATGTTTCTCCTAATAAAACTTTTGGGATTCTTTTGAAGCTCGGCTTGAGGCTCATGATTTAATTGGGGCAATCGCCGGAATCCTGACAGTAGCTTTAGCCCGGACACCCCTCGCCCATGAGTGGCATGAAGTTGGCCACACACCCCTAGGTCAACCACAGCCATGATGCGGCCCTCAATGAAATTGAGTTTGATACCCCTTCTTTAAATGATTCTCTCTCCCAGTTTCTTTGATTAGGGTAACTCTTGTCCTGCGTTGAGTTGACCATGGCAAACTGTCATGGACTCAAATCCGGGAAGTTAGCCAAGCAGGCCCAGTGCCCACAGGCAGCCGGTGGGGCAGGATGGGATGTATCAACTCCTAAAAGGTTTCTATGGTCTTTGTAGAGTTGCCAACAGAAAGAGAGGGGGGAGCAGTGTAGCAGTTTGGAAACTGAAAGTGCACTCCACAAACAGTTTTCAAAGATAGTAAGTTTCAAAATTCTAATTGGAGAATATGATTGATGACTCTTGGCTATGGATGAGTCTCTGGAGAATATGATTTATGACACACCCAGAGGGGTGGGGGAAACCAGGGTCAAGAGTCAGCTACACCCAGACATGTTCACTCCCAATAAATCCTTTGGAAGTTTGGCTTGAGATTCGTGATTTAATTGGGGGCTAACTGCCAGAATCCTGACACTATGGGAACCCCAACAGATTGTAAGTGAGCATGAGATATCTTGCCTTGGGTGGGTGGGGGGCTCTGGCGTTGTGATCTAGCACTAGCGAAGCACTCCCCCTCCCACGGTCTTCCCCACTCTGATTCCTCATGCGGTGGCGCACTGACCTATTTTTTTTTACACAATTGTTGAGCGACGCCTGCTGGCTTTGAACCCGAGCGGCAAAACACTCTGTCGGCCCGATCCACCAAAAAGCAACGAACGGAAGTCAAAACATTTTATTCAATGGAGAAAGAGGCTCCAGCCCCTGGGAGGAGGAGGAGGAGGAAAAATTAAGGTGCATTGTCATCCAAGCACAACCATTTGCAACTGGTGCCCCGCGGGGGAAGGGGGGGGGCAGGGGCGGCGGGCGGACACCCCCTGATATCCCCAAAGCAGGCCAAACCTCCACCCTGGTACTTTGCTGCCTCCGTGGAAAGGTGGGGGAGTGGAACGCGTGGCCGAAATCACCCGGAAGCCTGTCGTCGCTGCAGTGAGAGGCTGTGCAAAAGTTTTCAAGGAGGGGCTGTCCTGGGAGGAGTGGGAGAGCGGGGGGGGGAGGGGGGGGCAAGGCCTCGAGAGAGTTGAACGGGGAATGAAAACCTCCCTCCCCACCCAAAAAGATCTTTTCACTTGCCACTGCCGTGAAATTTTCCTTTCCGACGGGGAACGCTCCGTTCCTGCAGAACGAAAACGGACACAATTCAGGATTGAGCCGTGGGTCCAGCTTGTTCTCGGAGTACGACCATGTTGGAGGCCACGACTGTCCCCCCCCCCCCAACGCCTTGTTGAACTGGTCCCGGTGGCCCCTGGCGCCATCCTTGCAGAGGACTCACTTTGGACGGAGGGGGGCAGGAGGGGACTACTCCCCGGGGAGAATTCCCCTCCCCGTCCACAGAGGTGAGGACTCTGAGAGACGGCCAGTAGGGTCATTGCATGCACGCACATACCGGTCGTCGCTATCGGAAGATTTCTTGGGGTGTTGGGGGGGGGGCTGGGAACAATTTCCTCCTGATAAAAGCTGCAGAATTTTGCCTTATCTCTGCCTCACCCCAAACTTGGCAGGGCGAGGACAGGGTTTCCCCCTCCCAAAGGGACACCTGGTGACAGCAACCCCCACCCCCAAACTCAGAAGAACCTCGTTCTCGGCCCCTATCCTGGTAATCCAGAGGTTGTCCACCTCCTCTTGGAAGGTCAGAGGTCACTGAAGGCATAGGGAGGGTCTTCACTTTCTCTTGACCCCCCCGCCTCCCCCGGCCAGGAAGGAGACTCCCAGCTCTGTCCTCACAAATACGTCGAGAACAGCTGCACTAAATTTAGTGGTTTGGCCCCTATACTGACTGCCTTAATGGGGTGTGCCCCCCCCGAGCGGGGAGGGGCAGCATACCCTGAGTGGGAAGGGGGATCATGCCCCGAGTGCGGGGGATATGTGATTTCTTTTATTCCATTTCTATGGCAGCGCAACTATGGGGAGGGGCTTTGGGTGATCACCGAGAGAGAGGGCACCATTCTCCTGGTGCAGAAATTGAGGGGGTTCCTGGGTGAGCGAGGGATGAGAGCGAAGGGGAGACCATGGCGTGGGGACCCCAACATCTGGGGCCTCGGGTAGGAGAAAGGGGCCCCGGATTCTGGGGTGCCACAATTTATAGCAGGGGTGGTTATTTGACGGCAATCATCACGGCCCCGTGGCTAGGACTGAGGACAAACAGGCCAAAATGCAGGTTTTTTGGGGGGGGAAGGGCCACTGAGCAAGGGGAACCCCAGTATCGCTTGACTCCCCACACAACCCCATCCTGAAGCGGCCACTGGAACAAGTCTGAAGAGCCCCAAATTTTTTTGGGGGGGGGGGCGCACAACCTCATGTCCCGGGCCCAAACATGTAGATGGTGCTCAAATATTCCCTCTGGGGGAAAAAATTCAGCGGGGAAATCCATATTCCTTGGTCATGTGCGGGGCAGAAATTCTGCATGGCAATTTGCTTGGGGGGGCGGGGGGGGGGCGCTACGGGAATGGTGGGTGTGGCTAGGCGGGCAGGAGGGAGCGAAGAAGGAAGATAAACTGAGCAAGGGAGGGTGGAATGAAGGAAGATGAGAGAGAGGGAAGGAAAGGGATGGGGAGGGAAGGGAGGCTGGAAGGAAAGATAAGGGGGAGGGTGGGACGAAGGAAGAAAGGGAGGGAATGGAGAAAGAGAGGATGGAAGGAAGGGAGGATAAGGGGGCAGGAGAAAGGAAGAT